GACACCCACCACCTCAAACTCCACCACCTCACACTCCACCACCTCAAACTCCACCACCTCACACCACCCTTCCCCTGCCCCTCCTTATCACTCCTCCTCCTCCTCACTTCTCAAAAAAGGGGCCCGAACAGCCCCTATATTACTACTTCTATATCTCTATCTATCTATCTATCTATATCTATCTATCTCTATATCTATCTCTGTGTGTGTGTGTCTCTCTCTCAAACAAAAATGTTATGTGAATCACGTTCTATCTGGCAGATGTACCATTAATTGTGGTGTGCCTCAGGGGTCAATTCTTGGACCGTTATTGTTTCTCATATATATAAAACTGAGTATATGTTCATTGGATCAGATCAAAATCTTGACAAGTTAAGAGATGTACCACTACTATTTCTTGAAAACAAAGCTATAAAAAGATGTACCACTACTATTTCTTGAAAACAAAGCTATCTATCTATCTATCTATCTATATCTATCTATATCTATCTATCTCTATATCTATCTCTCTATATCTATCTCTCTATATCTATCTCTCTATATCTATCTGTGTGTGTGTGTCTCTTTCTCTCTCTCTCAAACAAAAATGTTATGTGAATCACATTCTATCTGGCAAACGTACCATTAATTGTGGTGTGCCTCAGGGGTCAATTCTTGGACCGTTATTGTTTCTCATATATATAAAACTGAGTATATGTTCATTGGATCAGATCAAAATCTTGACAAGTTAAGAGATGTACCACTACTATTTCTTGAAAACAAAGCTATAAAAAGATGTACTACTACTATTTCTTGAAAACAAAGCTATCTATCTATCTATCTATATCTATCTGTATCTATATCTATCTATATCTATCTATCTCTATATCTATCTCTCTATATCTATCTCTCTATATCTATCTATCTGTGTGTGTGTGTGTGTCTCTTTCTCTCTCTCTCTCTCTCTCAAACAAAAATGTTATGTGAATCACATTCTATCTGGCAAACGTACCATTAATTGTGGTGTGCCTCAGGGGTCAATTCTTGGACCGTTATTGTTTCTCATATATATAAACGATCTTCCTCAGTGTTTAAAACATCCTACAACTCGAATGTACGCTGACGATACAAACATAACAACGACAGGAACATCTATTCGAGAAATAGTAACACATGCTAATGATGACTTAAATAATATAAGTGACTGGCTGAAAGCAAACAAACTCAGCCTTAACATGACTAAAACTGAGTATATGTTCATTGGATCAGATCAAAATCTTGACAAGTTAAGAGATGTACCACTACTATTTCTTGAAAACAAAGCTATAAAAAGGATCAAAGCAACCAAGTCATTAGGGGTACATATTGATGAAAGACTAACATGGCATGAACATATTCAAAATATTTCCAAAAAAGTAGGTGCTGGAATTTCAGGTTTACGGCGGGTATTCATCTACATATTTTAATAGGAATTAAATTTCAGAAGCAATCCACTTTTTTACTACGCCTTGTGGAATCCATTAGGTTTTCGGTCATGAATGACAAACTGCAATGGGGCAAATATTACTGCCACTGAAATCGCCGGTTCCAAATAGATATTTGGCTTATTACTTTTGTGAAAAGAACATGCATGATTCAATAAAAAAATACGGATACATGTTTTGTAGACCCTCGCACAACTTCGGTGCATAGTTAGAAAAATTGCAAATATCCGTCCTAATCATGAGCGCCATGTTGGATTCCTGAACATGTCAAACATATTTGAGGGTAAACAAAAAAATAAGACAATTTTCAAGAAATCACTGTTTGAACAAGAATCAGGATACATCAAGGAAGTTATTGATATATTATGAAGCCAAACGAAAATTGAGTCAGAATTTGCTGGACCGTTCTTGCAGACAATGCCTCTTAAGGTCTCATCACAGGGACCCATGCTCTGCTGATGCCCACATGATGGTCGCGCCGTGGCGGACAAAGGCACAAATATTCCATTAACTTTGGGCAAAGGCACAAGTATTATATTAACTTTGGGCAGAGGCGGGCAAAGTCACAAGCATTATATCAGTCAATAGCAATGGACTGTAAAACTTATTAATTTTCATGATTAAAGAAAATAGTCGCCCTTTTACTTACCTTGGATGATCAGCGTAATAATTCGAATGTAGGAAAAGTTCTGCCGCTGTTAAAAGGCGCAGTGGAGCACTCAGATGTTCATCTCCTGTCATCAAAACAGATCCAGTGTTAAATAAACAATTTCCATCTGACTTTACTTACACAGGTATCCGTTTCTCCGGAATGTCTTCGGGTAGGAGAAAGTCGGAAAAACAGTCTCTCTCGTGGCAAAAATTTATTGTAGTCATAAGCGGGCGACTCAGTATAAATGGTCGATGCCTCTGTGCTATTTTTTCGCAGCTATCCCGGCGATTACTTAATATTGCATTTTTGAGCAAACTTAGATCTACTGTTGTTGGTGATGATGATCCCATCTTACAATACGTCTACAACACCGACGTCGACAAATGTATAAAATAAACCAAAAATTTCAAAACAATATCTATAAACAGCAGTACAGATTAAAATGAGATTAACTTTGTTGATGTTTACAAATATTCCCTTTTATTCTCGGTATCAGATTACTTACACAATGCGCGGTCAAAAATTTTCCAAATTTGCAACCCAAGCATATGGATTTGTCATTTGCAAATATTACAGTAAAACGTTTCCAAGTTCGGACGTTGGGCGTGTATTATGTCTAAGCCGTTAATTGGTTTGTAAGCACATATCTGATATTCAAACTGTGCCAGTGGCGGCGGAACATATTTTATTTTGGGGGGGGCTAAATTTTTTTTGGTGACCTCCCCACCCCCCGTCGACACTTTTTTTGGACATAAACGAAAAAAATTTTCCGGACATATACAAGAAAGGGGATGAAAAAAATTCCAGACATATAACAAAAAATTTTTCCGCACATATTACAAAAAAATTTTCCGGACATACATTTTTAAAATTAATTAAACAAAGTATTGCAAATTTTAACACTTATACCTAAATTTTCCAAAAATACCCTAACTTTTTCCTTAATTATTAACATTTTTCCAGAAAAAACAAAATTTTCTGGGGGGGCTAAGCCCCCCCACCCACTTTTACTTCTGGGGGGGGCTAAAGTCCCCCTAGCCCCCCTGTTCCGCCGCCACTGAATTGTGCAGTGATTTTAGTGCATTTTATACAAGTATATTATTTTTATGCCTTGCCCTTCGCTCAGAACAAGACTATACCTTCAAGCATTTATAGTATCCTGTTCTCTGTTTAGTGGGTGAAATGATCAAACATAAACCAAAATCATAGAGGTATACAGATAGAGGCAATGATTTCCCCAGTGGCTAGTATAAATGATTAACTTTTCTGTCCATGGGGAGGTGGGCCGTAGTTACAGTGAAAATACAAAAAGTGTCCCACTTCCGCAATTGCTGTGAATTTTACTGTAATTTGTCCTGTTTTTCTGTAGCGATTACCGATTTATCGGCAAATACTGCAATAAAATTTAAATTTCGTAACTTTTAATGTTTTATGCAATGAAAGTAACGAAAAATGTATTATTTCCCTTTCCTACAGTTTATAATATCTAAAAATAGAGAAAACTAAGTTTTATCGTGGTATTTGCCCATAAATTGGTAAACGCTACAGAAAAACAGACCAAATTACAGTCAATCACAACAAACTACAGAAGTGGGACACTTTTTATATTTTCACTCTAAAAGCTAATGTGCATGTAAATAGGTTGAAAAGCAAATTACAGTCGATTTCACGAAACTTTTGCCAAAATTTTCCGAATTTAAGCCCTGTTTACACTACGCTCAATTTTTGGTACGGCACGGATAAAATTGGTACCCGTACCACTTTTTTTGCTTCTTGGACTACCTATTTAGGTAGTCCAAGAACCAAAAAGTGGTACGGTACCAAAAATTGAGCGTAGTGTAAACGGGGCTTAGCTAAATAGGTAGTCCAAGAACCAAAAAAGTGGTACGGGTACCAATTTTATCCATGCTGTACCAAAAATTGAGCATAGTGTAAACGGGGCTTTAGTTCCGAATTACTTGGGAAAGTCAGAAGTTCATATTTCACAAGTTGCCAAGTCGGTTTTGAAAACTAAGCACTTGATTGGCTTCCTTTTTTCAGCGACCAATCAGGGGCTTTGTTTACAAAACCGGCTTGTGAATTTTGAATTTCTGAGTTCTGACCTTCCCAATTTCGAAACGAAATTCGCCAAATTCGAAACAAAGTTCAGCAAACTTTAGCAAAAGTTTTGTGAAATCAATTGTAACGCCTTTTGCAACAATCGCTTCACATAATCTTTCAGATTCCTTAATAAGATTATAATATTTCCTTTGTAATCAATATTAAACAAACTAACTTCCAAATGCATAAAATTCCTAATAGTTCCCCGACCCCAAAATGCATAAAATTCCAATAGTATAGTACAGAAAGACATTGGATTAATATTGAGTTAACCTGTGCGTGGGAGTAATGATTATATTCATTTTTATCATGTTTAACTCACTACATTTTTAGATTTTTGCGCATGGCGTCTTGCGCTTTTTTCAGTACGGTCAGATGGTATTTCTTTCTGTCTACAAGTACCTTTCATTTCTTGGCTTCACTCGGTCCTTGAAAAATATTTATTGGGCTTGCACTTAATTGAGTGTTGACTTCATCTAAAGCAACGGTGTGTTGCCGAATTCGGTCTGCATTCTTTTTTATCGTACCAGGCTTACATTCCCTTTTGCAAAAAAATTCTGGGTCTGTGTTTGTTGTACTGTTCATTTGCGATAGTAAAGCCTCTTCTTCCAGCAGCAAAGTACTCTGGTGCTCTCTCCATGCTATATCAATCGACTTTGCTACCTGGCCTTTTGATTTTGTCGTATCCTTTGCAAAGTTTTTTAGCTTCATCGTTCCAAAATAACAGACTTTTTTTCCATACCTTTTGCCTTTGCGATCTCTGCTTCGGTGTACACTTTCACGCCTCAAATTTCCCACGATGTTGGCGACCAAAGGAAGCACGTGCTTGTGGAGACTGCCTTTTGAAACGACGCGCCGCCAGTTGACATAGATGACTCAGATACGCTTTCATTTTTGCTTGTACGATCGGTTTTGGGCGTACTTTCACCACATGATTTAAATGGGTTTGATAATCTCTTGATAATATTGATAATGGGAACTTCATCTGCAAGCTTTGCTACGGAAACAACGTTGGTGGCATCCTCATCCTGTGTATTAATTTGCTGGCCTGTTTCTTGCCTATAAAAATCGAACTCCCCTATTTCAACATCTTCTTCAATTTCTCGTCTCAGATTCGCAAGCGACAACTCAGTGTCAAACGCTGGAATAATCCCAATTGTCTTATTTTCTTCCATGATTTTGAGAGATGTCATTGTGAAACCGTTTTGGTTTTCTTTTCGCATGAAACACTGTGTTTACGTTTGTCACACGTTTGTGACAGTTATTGTGACAATTTGTGATTTGATATATGTGGTGTTACTCTGAGTGTATATCCACACCGGGCGAGCTTGAAAAATATGCCCGGCCACGGTGGGATTCGAACCTACGACCTTTGGAATACTAGCCCAATGCTCTTCCAACTGAGCTACGCGGTCAGGACGGTTCGAGTAAGTGATATTTCAGAACAGAATCTAGTTCCTTCGATACCAATGTATTCTAGTAATATGAATTTGTTTTCTGTGTTGGTGTAGTGTACTCAGGTGAATATGATATATGTGGTGTTACTCTGAGTGTATATCCACACCGGGCGAGCTTGAAAAATATGCCCGGCCACGGTGGGATTCGAACCTACGGCCTTTGGAATACGTAGCTCAGTTGGAAGAGCATTGGGCTAGTATTCCAAAGGTCGTAGGTTCGAATCCCACCGTGGCCGGGCATATTTTTCAAGCTCGCCCGGTGTGGATATACACTCAGAGTAACACCACATATATCATATTCACCTGAGTACACTACACCAATTTGTGATTTGTTAGAATTGACATTGACCAGAGGCATTACGTATACATTAGCATCGACCACAGGCGGCCCAATCTTACCCTGTGTTATTAATTACGTTATATCTTTATATAAATAGTATATTGAAAATCATTAGAAAATCCTGTGTTATTAATTTATTACGTTATATCTTTATATAATGGTATAATGAAAAGCACTTACACATGTTTCTTGAAAGATTTCAACGAGAACCTACCAAGATTGGCGTTGACAAGAGGTTAACAGCCATAGTTGGGGTTGATATGAGGTCCTCATGGCCGGTTCTCGTTAAAATCTTTCAAGAAACACATGTAAGTGCTTTTCATTATACTATTATATAAAGATATAACATAATAAATTAATAACACAGGATTTTCTAATGATTTTCAATATACTATTTATATAAAGATATAACATAATTAATAACACAGGGTAAGATTGGGCTGCCTGTGCATCGACTTTATCTTAGGTGAGGACCATTTAATTTTTTATGGGAGGGGGGGAGGGTAGAATCTTATTCTGTGATAGAATCACAAATAAAATCGAGCAAGCACTTGACCTTAAAAAAGTGTCGCACAAAGAACAAACAGGCAGAAAAAAATATCGAGCAAGCCTTCTGGGGCCGGTTGTATCAAGCCCGTTTAGCTTAATAAACAGTGGATAAAAATTAAATAACACTATTGTATCTCTTGTGAATCAGTCAACTTAAATATTGTGCACTAAATATGTAGTTGTAAACATTATCATTCTATTAAGGTTCAAAACTTTTAGTTTGGTTGTTGAATGAATCTATAGACTTACGCATGCATTCCATTTTGAGCTTAACCACCGTTTAAGCTAAACAGGCTTCATACAACCGGCCCTGGTCATGGTGCCGTACGAGGTGCCATATATCAAAATAGTCAAATGGTGTCATCTTACCCTGAGAATGCATGGAAACTCATTTCAGATTTTCAGGAACTCTAGATTTTAAAATTTTCCTGGGAGAGCATGCCCCCTGCAGGGCTCAAGCATGTTCAGCGCTCGATTACCATCCCCCAGTTGGCCTCAATGAAAATCAGGGCGCAGATGAAAGTCTACCACTCTCCCCCATTTGGCTATTAGTAAAACCAGGAACACCGGAACAATGGAACACCAGAACACGGAACACCGGAACAGCATCATTCCAGAACACGGAACACCGGAACACAAAAAATTCTTAATTTGTTAAAAATTCGAAAAAAAATACCGGGGGGTGTGAAAGTATTGCTGCAATAATTATTGCGTAAAACGTGCCTTTCTGACCGATAGCTACTAATAACGAACAGAAATCCTCACAGCAATCAGTCTCAAAGTGATAAATATTTGCCTGAAAAATAGAAATCAAACCTAGAAATGTTATTTGTTGAGAATATTGAATGGTCCATCTTTGTTTATTGTAAAAAACATGACAATCAAAATATTAAAGTAACAACAATATGAAATTGGTCGAAGACCCGTACTCAGGAAATAAAATAACAACATAAAACGCTCACTGAGTTTCCAGCGATATACATACCCTTTTCTAGATATATACCTAATAATAATAAACGAACGAACGAATGTATTCCTTCCACTCGTGAGCTCATTTACCATTGTCACATATAGTAAATGTCCAGGCCTTGTGACCCTGGATGGGCACTTAAAAGGAAAGAATACACACACACAAAGGTTTATTTATTCAACCATTACAAGAGAACGATTGAACAACTGCACATGAACGAACATTCAAAGTGAATGCCACTTGTTAGCCACCTGCAAAATTATTATTAGCATAACAATATGCCTCACACAACTCATTTCCTTGTCATCATATCATAACAAACCATATCAGGAAATATGAATATCAATTACAAACCTTTAGTCAAATCCATGACCTTCAGGAATATTTACCTACAACTGTAGGATTTAAGTGCAAAGCACCAAAAATAACAATATGAAATTGGTCGAAGACCCGTACTCAGGAAATAAAACAACAACATAAAACGCTCACTGAGTTTCCAGCGATATACATACCCTTTTCTAGATATATACCTAATAATAATAAACGAACGAACGAATGTATTCCTTCCACTCGTGAGCTGATTTACCATTGTCACATATAGTAAATGTCCAGGCCTTGTGACCCTGGATGGGCACTTAAAAGGAAATGAGTTGTGTGAGACATATTGTTATGCTAATAATAATTTTGCAGGTGGCTAACAAGTGGCATTCACTTTGAACGTTCGTTCATGCGCAGTTGTTCAATCGTTCTCTTGTAATGGTTGAATGAATAAACCTTTGTGTGTGTGTATTCTTTCCTTTTAAGTGCCCATCCAGGGTCACAAGGCCTGGACATTTACTATATGTGACAATGGTAAATGAGCTCACAAGTGGAAGGAATACATTCGTTCGTTCGTTTATCATTATTAGGTATATATCTAGAAAAGGGTATGTATATCGCTGGAAACTCAGTGAGCGTTTTATGTTGTTAAAGTAACAACAGTTGATTGGCTCCCTTGTTTTTTATACCGACTTAGCTACTCTTGAAGTGCAAAAGGATAATTTTCAATTCTCGTTCGAAGTTGGTATTTAGCATCACGTATAATACAGACAATTCTTTAATATTGATCCTTTCTCACACAAAATATTTTATAAGCGGCGATGGATAAAAAACCTTTAGCGCGTGATATTATAAACCTTTCATGGACAGCCATGACAAAAATACAAACAAATATAATTATAGGCCATGTTACATGTAAGTTGTATATATAAATGATGTTTCAACGCATGCATGTGTGTCTATTCGTTCATGTTTAAACTGTAAATTAAACTGACACTCAGTGAGGGAATTTTAGTAAGAGGAAAAATCCTACGACTCTATCCGCGTTTTCGCTCGAGTTTTCGCTTGCTCTGAGATTCAATATTGTTGGCCGTCTATAATATGACATAGCATACCGAGCATACTAGCCTACATATAAGAAGGTCACACACGATGACGCGGTACTAGGCATATAGTCCTGACTCTTATATATATTATTATGGAGGTACTGACACAGTATAGGCTATAGCACGAGAGATTGCATACACTAAATTATTCCCTTTTACTTAGGATGCGCCAGTTTTATATTTATAAACAACAAGTATCTCTGCTGACATGTTTGTAAAATCAACTTGTTGTTTATAAATATAAAACTGGCACATCCTAAAAGGGAATAATTTAGTGTATGCAATCTTTCATGCTATAGCCTATACTGTGTCAGTACCTTCATAATGATATATATAGGAGTCAGGACTATATGCCTAGTACCACGTCGTCGT